TTTGATTAAAAATAACAGAAATTGGACCTTAAGATTAACAAAATAATATTCACAAAATATTGTTTTTCAAAAAACATTAAATGTGGCTAAATACTTTATAATTTTTTTTTGTAAACCTATCGATACACTTTAGAAATTATATTATTCAAGAGTGTACAGGCAGAATACATAATTTAGATGTGGGTCTATCTATGGTTGATGACTTAGTACGTAAGGTGACTACGCGGGTGATATTGTCATGACCTGCATGTTTTTTTAAAACGATATTAAAACGACCTAATAACCAACGGCTTGGAGGCAAATCGTCCTCCTTTATTAAAACTATATCTCCGATAGATGGTTCTGGAAAAATAGATTTCCATTTGTATCTATTTATCATAATATTCGATAAATATTCTTGGGACCAACGTCGCCAAAAATTTTGAAGCATTCTCTGTAAAAATTGCTATCTCGTTAAACAGCTGACACTAGAGTTCTCATAGTTAGAATCAGGGACTTCACTAACGGTTCACCTATCAAAAAATGTCCTGGAGTTATTGGTAACGGTTCATCAAGATCTGTATTATTTATGACACACATAGGCCGCGAATTTAAGCAAGCTTCTATTTGACTGAGTAGAGTACTCATCTCCTCATAAGTTAAAGTAGAGTCACCTAATACTCTTTTAAGATGGAATTTTTTTGTGGACTTCATACCCGCTTCCCAAAGACCACCGAAGTTGGGTGCATGAGGAGGTATAAAGTGCCATTCAGTTCCATTCAATCCTAAATGTTCTGCTAATTCGTTTTGAATAGCCGAAAGTTCTTTTAATTCCCTTGAGGCTCCCACAAAAGTAGTGCCATTGTCACTCCAGATATTGGCACAATGCCCATGCCTTGACACGAATCGCCTGAAGGCAGCCAAAAGTGCTTGACTCATCATGTCACTCACCACCTCTAAATGTATGGCTCTAGTAGCCATACAGATAAATAAACATATATAGCCCTTGTGAGCCTTATGTCCTCGACCTTTAGTTGTTCTTAAGAAAACTGGTCCGGCATAATCGACACCACCATTTAGGAAGGGTCTGGCTGGTGAACATCTAACTGACGGTAAAGAACCCATTAATTGATTTTTTATTTGGGCCTTGACCTTTGCACAAACAACGCATTTTCTAATAAAATCCTTCTTGGGGTCAAGGTACTAGTACCTTGACCCCAAGAATCCAGAATGCTGATCTTCGGTAATTAATCATTAACTGAAAGCCCCCATGAAGCGTTTTTTCGTGTGCGTCAGAAATGATTAACTTTGTGATATGAGCTGTTTTCGGTAAAATTATCGGATGTTTCGACTGGTTATCAATAGGAGCATTATGTAATCGACCACCTACCCTAATTATCCTATCTTCGTCTAAATAAGGACACAGGACACTCAGTTTGCTTGATTTAGACTGCAAGAACTTATTACTCTTTAATTCATTATATTCCATTGAAAATCCAATGTTTTGAGCCCGTCTAATACAGCAGGTGAGAGCATCATTCAACTCCTTTTTTTGCAGGTAAGTAGTTTTATTTTTACCTTTATTTAGCACCCGTCTGCAATATGCAACAACACGCAGTAAACGTGTCAATGATGAATAGCGTTCTTCTAGTATGTCATCTTCGAACATAGCTGCATGACTAGTAATTGATTCTTCTAGGGATATAACAAAATCTTTAGGTTTCTTGTAGCTAACAATTTGCTCTCTTAAAAAATGTGGACCTAAAAACCACAATTCATTTTCGATTAATAGTGATGGTAATACTCGAAGCACAATCTGCGGGATTTTCCGTTGAGGATACATGAAACCATTGTGATGAGTCTAGATTTGATAAAATTGGAGAAAGAATTGAAGACGTTTTAGAGATTGGAACGAATAGTTAACTTTTTTGCTAATGAGGTTAATATGAGATGCCCATGACATATGTTTATCAAAAACCACACCCAAATTTTTTGCAGAGTCCGAAAAAGGAATTTGGACATTGTCATAAATTACATCCGGGAGTTTTGAGCAATCTAAATGTTTTAAATAATAGGAGCTCCCAATAATTAAAACTTTTGATTTGCCGGGATTAACGAGGAGTTCAAAAGACTTTGCCCAATTACTAATTCTGCTCAAGTCAGCATTAAGTATAGTAATGTAGCCTTTACAGCTAAATATGGCGCAGAAGCTGTACCAAATGTAACTGTCATTAATTCGTAATCTTCAACAATATTATCAGGGCGGTCACGCCACAGAATTCGCTGAAAGATGTAATCTTCCCTTGCTATCCTTACTTGTCGATACATTTTTATTATGTCTGCTACAAGACAGATAGGATGAGTTCTCCACCTCAAGATTGTATGCCGTAAGTCGGCTTGTAATGTAGGGCCTACCATAAGAGTATCATTCAATGATACACCCTTCTTGTTTTTCTCGGATGCGTTGAAAACTACTCGCACCTTTGTGGTGGATTTATCGTTTCTTATGACTGCATGATGTGGTAAATAAACAGCTTCCTCTCTTTTGGTATCACTATCGTTTTCTACCAATTTCATGTGACCTAGTGTTAAATATTCCTTCATCACTGCTTGATACTGAACATGTAAATCTGGTTGTTTAGCAAATCTTCGTTCTAAAGAACTAAGTCTCATTAGCGCTATTTGTCGTGATTCTCCATATTTGCACTGAGGATCTTCATCTCGGAAGGGTAGTCGAACAACGTACCTGCCATCACATGTTCGCGTTGTTGTTTTTTTTGAACAAATCTTCACATCGCTCTTCTTCTACTGTTAACAACTTCTTTGAACTATTAACTTCCTCTATTTCTCAAAACTTTTTTAACATTTCATTTGGATCATCACTAAACTGGGCATGCATGACCTGTATCTTATTTGTACTGTCGTTGGTTTGACCTTTTGAACTAGAACTGGCAACTACACCTGAAAGGATCCACCCTAAAGTGGTGTTCTGAGCAACAAGTGCCCCTGAAGAACTTTTTATTACACCTTCCTTTAAGTTGTAGCTGTACACATCTGCTCCTAACTAAACGTTTATTTTAATAGGCGTTCCAAAATCTGGATCCGCTAACGGCAGCTTTTTAATTTCTGTCCAATCAATTGATTGAACCTTTTGCTAGGAAGATATGAAGTTATATTCCTTAAGACATAAGCTTTGAACTTCATTTTAAAATCAGGGTCTACTCTTGATTTTATGGGAAGAAAAACCATGAGTCTTGCCGCGATCGACCTGTTTTTTCCCAAACCTGAAATTATACCTGTGATAGGTATCTTTTTCAACCGAATAAATTGTACCGATGATTCGGTGATGAAGCTGGCCTGCGAACCCTGATCTAATAAGGCTCGAACTTCCTGATACTCACCGGATTTGGACTTAATTTTTATTAATGTTGTAGCCAGTAACACCTGATCGGACTGCGTGGACTGCATATGTCTTCCTGTCGAAAGACATGAATTGATAGGGGAGTTTTTATGTGAAGAACTCGACTCATCTTTATTTGTCTTTGGAAGAGTATTTTGGACTGTACCTTCATTCCCTTCTGAGGGATGAAGTAAAGAATGATGTCTTTTGTTACAAATTCTACAAGTGGTTGGTTTCTTACAATCGTAAACTGAGTGATTGCCACCTAAACAGTTAAAACAAATTTTATTTTTGGTCACAAATTGACGTCTCTGGTCAGTAGAAATGTCAATAAATTTTTTGCAGAAACATAATTTATGTGTCTCTTAACAAAATTCACAACGTAATTTGGGACCCCTGAAAGCCACAAATGTCTTTGGGTTATGAGTTTGTGTACTATTTACCTGATGAACATTCTCTTTGGCTCCAAACATTCAAATGCCCAGAAACGATTTTCTATAAATGCCTTAAACTTAGAAAGAGATGGCAATTCATTACAGTCATTATCTGAGACATTAAGCTCCCATTGCTTTCTTGTTTCTGTATCCAATTTAAACGTAACTATATGTATGACAATAACATCCCACGTACTTACATCTATACCGAGATTTTTTAAAGCATTTAAACGGTCAAATGTGGTGTCTAACAAGTCCTTTAAAGCTGTAGCAGATTCTGTTACCATACGTTTTTGGCTAAATAATCTTTTCAATATACAATTTGATAAATATCCTTTATTGCTATATCGCCTTTCTAATTGTTCCCAACATTCACTATAATTAGCTTCCGTTGTTGGAGTGTGCCTTACTAATTGTTCTGCTTCTCCGGTAAGATGACTCTTTAAATATTGTAACCTTTGTACATTATCCAAAGAACCATTCTTATGTACTAAAGATATAAATAAATATCTAAATGTTGTCCATTCAGAGTATTTTCCCGAAAAAATAGGTATCGATATTTTTGGTAGTTTTAAAGACGATGAATAGGAACAATCAGAAACCTTTCCATCTTTTTCAGAAGATTTAGCCGATAAGTTTTTAATTTTATTAATCATAGCCTTTACTTGACATTTATAATTAACATAAATATCTTCTGTAGTATCGTATATATCTTTAGACACATATCTTGAATTCTGAATTTCTGCTTCTTTATACAACTCAAATAATTTACTAATATTGCTTTTAAACATTGCCCAATCATTTTCCAAAACATCTAACTTAGTTTCTATGTACTCTACACATAAATGCTCTTTAGGACATTTTTTAAAATTAATGAGACCCTTTTCTGATCTTTGCAGATTTTTTTGGGCACTTATTAAATTTTCCATATTTAACAAAGTTCTCGAATACAAAATTTACTATCAACAACTTATTATTTGTTAATTATCAGATTTGACAAAAATTTCACAAGTGCTTATTAACACAAATTAACACTAGTAAATTAAAGTTATTTGCACTATGTACTTAAAGTTCCCAATTACTACTTCAATTTAAAATCTTGATCACCTTTGACTGCACGAAGAAATAAAGTTCTAAATTGTACTCACGATTAATTGTCACTACTAACGATGCATTCACAAAAATCAGTTTTTTGGATACAGTGGCGCCCTCTCGTATTCAGGTCTGGTGGTTGAAGCAGCTTCAAAAATATTGCTGTCGTATTGACAACCAACTAGTTTCTCAGTGCCGCCGCTGCTTGCGCACTTCGTAGTTCTGCCTCTGTTAAGGGCAGGAACCTGGAACTCTTTGCGCAGCGATTCACTACGAGGACCAGGGAACTGCGATCCAATGAGGACTGGATCGCGATCAAAAATTAGTCACTAAAGCTAGATTAATACGGCTCGAAGGACCAATGTTTTGGCCTATATGATCTCGAACTAAGCACTTATACTGAGCACTTGTACTGAGCACTGGTACTGAACACTTGAACGATTACGAGGATGTAAATAAAACTAAACTTATTTGTACTGGATCTGCTTGCATTTATTTTTGCCAAAAAAAGTTAAACTTAAGTTATCTTGAAGTACACTTCTCTAGCGTGATTACAAATGGGCTAGCGCCATCTAGTCACAATTCTAGTCTAGTGACAATTCTATAATGACCTTTGGATACACGGGAACACGAAAACACAATCTTCCCCGAACCCCGGCGCGACTGTGGCCTTCTCAGGCCTCCTCTCCTCGGGTGCTTAGACACCCGGTCCAGCCAAATGGTGCCGTGTCGGTGCAATTAGCACGGCACCCCTCTCAAGCCCTCCGCGGGGCAGCAGTTAGTCCCACATCTGCCGCCCCAGGGCTTGCTATCAGGGGGGAAGGTTGCGCGCGTAGGCCAGCCTCCTGCGCCCTGGTCTCCGGCGGTGGATTTCCAGGGTGGCAGTTGCCTCCCTTTCTCTCTTCGCGGCCTCCCTCCGGGTGATTATGTCCTCGCAGAAAAGGATGGCACCCCACGACCTCTCGCTGTCACCATACCGCGGACCACGGCGGATAGCGAGAGATCGTGCCCCACGACAGCCATCAGCTCACGGTACGGCTCCCGCCAGGCTGGGCACTCCTCCAATGCATGTTGGGCCGTCTCCTCGGCACATACGTCGCAGTAGTGGCAAACCGCTGTTGGCTCCCTCCCCGCCAAGAGGCACAGGTACCTCCCAAAACAGCCATGTCCCGAGAGAACCTGCATCGCCCGGTAGGTGAGAATGCCATGACGCCTGTCCAGCCACCGACTGAGTACCGGACGTATGGCCTCTATGGTTCTTAGGCCGGCACTGGGGTTCTCCAGCCTCTGCTCCCACTCGGCGATAGCGAGAGAGCGCAAGCCTTAGTCTGCACCCCTTCAACTCCTCTAAGGCTGGCAGGTGACCCCAGGCTATTGCCTCCTCGCGCCAGAAGTGCAGTGACTCGAGGATAAAACGAAGCAAGCCCTCTACGGCAACCCCTACTACAATATCAAAGGACTTTCACATTAGTTGCTTCACTCTTAAATTAATGCCATTTAATTTTACCTAGAGCCTTTTTTTTTCTTGACAAGATTTTTAAATCCTGTCTGTTTTATATATATACTCCCAAAAAAACATAGAAAGGAAATGGTACAGAACTGAGACTTACTGACTCCGATATCATTTTACCACGCATAAATTGCTACAGATTCCGTGCCACAACTGATAATCACGTGCCACACTGACATCCACGGTGATAATAATCCTTAATGATTTTAACCACTAAATTGCTCGACTTTGCCAGGGCAAATAATTTGACACAACTTGTTGTAGACTAAATTTGCCAATATCTTTTTTATCGTGTTGACCCCTTACCTTGAGTTTTATACACCTAATAGGGACTATAGACCTCAGTATCTCTAGTATAAATTTCAATTTTCTAGGTCCACCCGTTCCTGAGAAGATCAGTGGTGACACACAGACATTTGAGTGATCTTATAAAAGTTCGTTTTTTACCTTTTAAGGTACGAAACCCTAAAAACATCATTGTAGTAAAGCATTTTAGCAAATACCATATAATCTTTTATCATGTTAATTAGACTTTTTTGATGTACTTTATGAAGAGAAAGGTGTTACTAAATGCATTTTCTTTTTAGTTCAAGAATGTATCTGTATTCGCATTACAGAACATGTATTGCTTTTCAAACTTCTTTATCCGAACAACGTGCAAAAATTCCTACCAGGGAATTCCTGCAAAGATCGAAAAACTTTCATAGTTATTCTTTTTAAGCCGATGGCTCGTCCTCCACATCGTTTCTTTCTAGAACTATGTGTAATGTTTCTTATATCAGTTTGTGTTTGTATCAGTTTTTTATTTTATATCGTGTAATTAAAATTCAATACGTTTAAAAATTCAAATCACCGAAACAGCATAGACGGCATTCAATGTTTTCAAGGCGACAATTTAATATTTTCAAACTCCACTCAAACCACATCCGTATTAATAGCAGCATAGAAATTCTTATAATTTGCAGTGTTTCGAGAATTCTCCTTTCCGTACAGAAAGTTGGGTCTCACGTTAACAAATTCATGTTTGCTTTCTGCTTAAACTACGGAGTAACTTTTGAGGTTTCTGAGGTTCTTAGAACTTTTAAATTATATTTCATTTGTAAATAAATGAACAAAAACTTAAGGTGCTGCGGGATTTGAACCTGCGTCTTCCAGTTTCATGCCCAGACGATTTTACCAACTAATGTGAGCGCCCGATGACCTCACGAGACATAAGATGAAACTTTAAATTATAATTTATTAGTTATATGAACATAGAAGTTTGTTTATGCATCTCCTCGTATTTATTTTCCTAGGCTATTATTGTATGTTCTTAATTTTTGTTCTAAATTCTATAATAAGAATAAAAAATCGAGAGGTAACGTCAAAATGTTTATGTTAAATATCCAAACAGGCAAATAAGAAAACGTGACATGTTTCCTTAGTCTGGCAACCATAGTTATTGGGAGACATTTAAAACTTTAAAAAAATTTTCGCGTTTCATGTAATAATAGAGATATAAACATGAAACGACAACATATTATTTTAATCTCATGTTAATTAATCTATGCAGATATATACAAAAGATAAATAAGTACTTTCAATTGTTTTAATATTTAATTAAATAATTCAATTTAATTATAATTATATTAATTTATGCAGGGAATGCACGCTTTCTTCGTTGACTTTGCTAAAGCTTACGACAGTATGGACAGAAAGTCACTCTTCTCCATACTCAGAAACTTTAAAATCCCAGAGAATCTCATCAGGCTGATTGAGGTTGCCACAGTTGTGAGTAAGATGCGGGTTAATGTAGGCGGAGGGCTGATGGACGAATTTGATGTCGTCACTGGCCTGAAGCAGGGATCCATGTTGTTTAATCTAGCATTCGAGCATGTTATTAGGAAAATAGAAATGCTAGACGGTGGTGTGCTGTTAAATGGCTAACATAATATTATTGGGTATGTCTGCATACCTTGACCTTGCACTGCTTGGAGAAAACAGACCACAGTCGTCGAACTGGCAAAAGCTTTGGCGAGATTAAATCCGCGAGACTCTGCTGGCTTGGGCACCTGGAACAATCACCGGCCGACAGGGCAGTGAAGAAAGCCTATGATGGATGACCTGGAGGACAACGGCCGAATCGTATCGGAGGCCAAGACCCACTTTAGATCGCTGAGCTAACGGAGTTACGTCTTTTTAGTTTAAATATAAAGGAATGCAATACAAAGCAATCATAATAACACCTAAGTCTCACTACGTATGAAAAGACAACTCATGCAATGCAAGATACCTAAATGGTGACTCACAAACGATCACCAACCATCTCATTTAGCTACTGTGGGTAAAAATAATCCTTGGTATTAGAGACCACAACGGGTCTGCGTTGGACAACAAGCTTCGAGTGCATTGGGGCGAGTACAAGCTGTTACCTCTACGTTATATTAGGTGTCCATACGAAGATAAATTACTCCTAGGTACTTCGGACTAAATCATTGTAAAGAATAATTAACATCCCCATAGATTTCTTATGAATTAAGTAATTTGCAATATATAAATTTATAATACATAAATTTTTCAAGCTTTTTTGACAGAGCTTTTCAATATGGACAATAAAGCGCAATATTTTGTGTAACGTTACGCCCCAATCGCGAATTTCCTCGACTTCTTGTACTATGTTATTTTATATGAAGCGATAATATTTATTTTAGATTCCTGCTAAGCATTGTGTATAACTTTTCAAAAATGTTGACAGATACAGAATAAAAATAGATCTGTAATTTACCACCAAATCTATATCTACTCCTTCAAAAACATATCACCTTTTTCAACATTTGTGGAAAGGTGCCAGCTGGAAGACGTATTGTATGTACATTATAAATAAAGGCAACATTAAATGCAAAAACTGAAGGAATCCATCTCGTCCAGCACCTTTATAAAAGTTCATTCTTTTAAAAACATATAAGACATATTCTGACTTAAAAAAAATATTGCCTCTTCTTTCATACAATTCTTTCATATAAGACATATTCTGGATTAAAAAAAAATATAAAAACATAACACATCTTCTGGTTTAAAATAGCAAAGTATTTTGGTTTAAAATAAAAAAAAATCTAGTGAGTTTGGTGGGTTATGTCTTCGAATGAAGCGATTCGTAAAATAATTATAATCTAGCTTAATGTCCCTGAAGTTCATTTGATCTTTACTTTTTTATTCCATCTTTAGTAGATAAGAACTAAAAATAAAAAATATTTCTAAGGTTTCTAAAGTGTTTGCTGATCAAGTCAAAATGAAAAAGAGCAGACGTTGGTCTTGTTTCTGGATTAGTAATCTTATCCTTTAAACGACAATTCTTGTATATATATATATATATATATATATATATATATATATATATATATATTTTACGTAATAGAAACGATGATTGATTTTTTTAAAAAGAATTTATTGGCCAGTATGCCAAACTACATAGAAGTTTGATAATGATTGTAAGTAACCGACACAATCGTTATTAATTCGGGTAGAGCTTCCGCACTCTACAACGGCTGACGAGAAAGTCCCTTGACACGGCGAGCGCTGCTCCGTTTATAGGCAGTCGCAGTGTGCTACTACCCTCCTATCTTCTAACACGGCCTCTCCTGACGACTGGTCGTCCTCGATCCTGAAGAGCCCACGCGTTGGTCGTGAGTCGACGGCGTCTTCAGTGTTGTCTGGACACAGCGGAGCAGAGTAGGCTCAGAGCGGTAGTCAGCATTGTCTGGAACCAAGCGGGGGTTATCAACGGGGGCTTGAGGCATTTTATCGACGATCATACCTCTTTCCAAATATCTCACTAGCGAGTCGAACGCTACAGTTTTTATGGTGACTTTAGCAAAGGCTAACACATGTAACTTTCAACATGATGTACGACTGGGTATTGCACATATACACATGACTAACAGGCTAACGCCAATATGACTCAGCACAGCGCCAGACTGGCTCCAATGACTTAACAAAAATTTGTTAACGCTAGAATGACTTGAAGCTAGATGAGCTCGTGGTAACGTATTCGTTAATAAACGGCGGCTTGATAGCATATCAACGCCTGTGTTCGACTAGCGAGACCATTCACTACGAAAAAAATAAACCAGCGACTTGACATTAAGTCAACGCCCATGTTCGACTAGCGAGACTACTCACTACGAACAAAATAAACCAGCGACTTGACATTACGTCAACGCTCATGTTCAACTAGCGAGACTACTCACTACGAACAAAATAAACCAGCGACTTGACATTAAGTCAACGCCCATATTCGACTAGTGAGATTACTCACTACGAACAAAATAAACCAGTAGCGAAGAATGCAGCACTCCGACGGTCACTCTCCGCACCATAGCACCATGTGTTCCGCAGCCACCTGCGTTCTATTGCCGCAGAAACAGTTTGTTTACCGGAACCAAACAACCCAAAAATAAAAATACAGAACGTTTAGTAACTCGTCGGTTTAGGCATAGGTCAGGCCTAACCTATCCTAAATGGATAAACATTCATACCATAGGTAGAGGCCCAACAGCGCGAATACCTCACGGTGAATACCGGCAGAGGTTCCAACAAGTTTGCGTACTGCGTAGATTTATATAGACCACTGCAACGTTGGCTACCGGCAGAGGCTCTAACAAGTTTGCATTCCGCGTA